AATATAAAATTTTTCCGAAATGACCCATAATCCTTATGTTATTTACAAAATTTTTTTTTACTATGAGGGAGGGGGGGTAATGTAAACCACCGAATCAAATTGGTCTCGCCTTATTTGGAACATTCCATTACCTTTTAAAATGAGTATAAGTCTCCAGTTTATGCAATGGTACAAAATTTTTATTAATACTACCATTTGTCACTATTTGGATTCATTATGTTTTGTTGCTGCGTTCTGGATTCAGAATTATAAAAACCTTTTACTCAAATAAAATAATCAGTGTTATAATCTTCCGGAAGAGCATTAAAATAAAATCTACCAGATTTTCTGATGCAATTGCATTTTCTTGATCAGTTTTTATAATTTTATTTCGATTTTCATCCTTTTTTCGTTTATTATTAGTGGAAATTTATTACAGCAATCAACGTATATTTTTAGAATAGTGTGTTTATTGGATTTTATGTTTTTTTAACAATCGCTTTTCACTTTGAAGTATCGAAGAAAAAAATTACTACAATTATGTTAATCCTAATCATGATGATTTGACAATATCATCTGATTTTCGAAACTTCTTAGGTGGCGATTTTTACCCTGGTCTATATTATCGTTATACCAAATACTATAATTACTTAACCGGATCGGCCGAAAAATCATTCGGCTAATTTTTGCCAGGTGTCCCAGAATTTATGATAACAGCTGTAATTTCAGCATAATTCCCGACGGGCCATACCGATTATAAGTCATATGATGCGAGACCGAACGAACATCTAGATAATGTTGCAATAAATATAAAAAATTAATTTTATTAAAATCAAATACTTCGCTAACCATAATTACAGAACCACTTTGTCAACGCTAACCCTAACTATAAAATTAAACTACATTTCGCTAGCTCTAACTCTAGAACTAAAGTATACTTCGCTGATCCTAATTGTAGCCCTAACTATAGAGCTATTATACAACGAAACCTAACCCTAATTACAAAATGAATGAGAACTAATTATATGAATGACACCTTCAAAAATATCACAATAGCCAAAACGATAATACCACCAACGCAGAACAACTAAAACAACAGTTCCACAAAGACAAAAGATAAGACCTAGCAAGATGACCCGATAAAAGCACGCGAAATCGCAATAACGGCACGTAGCTTGATAACGGCTCTAGTAACGACATCATCAAAAACCATGACACCAAAAAGATGACACAAAGAACAACGACTCCAATGGCAAAATTACCTGCTACTGTCTAAAAAAAAGAACAATTATTAGTACAGAGGTCAGAGCAAGACAAAACAAACCAAAAAAAAAACTGTTTCACGAAGACAAAAAGCAAGACAAATAAGACGACACGATAAAAACATGCGAAATCACAATAACAGCTCCAACAACAAGAACGTAACACTCTGATAACGACTTCAGTAACGACGAGCGACCCCAGTAATGAAAACACCAAAAACTACGACACAAAATCGACGACGTATTCCAGAAGCAACACACCAAGAACGATAGCGACATATTCCAGAAGCAATACACCAAGAACGACAGCGCCATATTCCAATAGCAAAACACAAATACAACGACGCCATGAACAACTACACCAAAAGCAACGACTCAAATGATAAAAAGAAAAAAAAAATATTAGTACTGTAGTACGGGGTAAGAACAAGACAAAAAAAAAAACATTGATTATTTCGATGATCATAAACGCTGAAAAGCGGTATTCATGATTTACACTATATTTTAAGTCCTAGACTGGTTTTGGACCAGATCACTTAACATCCTAATACTGTTAAGATTAGACTCCCCGCACAGTCATGCAGGGGTAGTTTCTGATATCATATGAAAAGATTGGGATAAAAGTATTAATAAAAAAATTTTTTATATTGTATTCTGATGTGGATTAACGGTGAAGGCGAGACCTCATAATGGGGCTGCATTATGAGTGTTGGTTCGAATCCGGCTTGAGGTCTTGATAATCCCCGTCATAGAACATCCTCGGTTGAAGCATCAGAATAATTTATTTTATTTATTTTATTATTGTTGTTTGTTTTTTAGCTTTTAACTACATTACTAGCACACCTAGTATTCATAGTATTGCGGCTCGGTCATTATGAGAACGATGGGAATTAGTTTTTAACCCATTTTTTAATTTTTCATCTTAATGCTTATCGTTATGACATCATTTTTTGTTAGTGTAACTGATAATTTTTCCTTCATGTCGCTCATTTCCATATTTGTTTAATTCTTTATCACTACGTAGGGATGACTAATTCAGTCTTGTGATACATGAGAATTAATATACGATAACTTTCTCGTAATTGGTCGTCACATGAAATTGAATAGCACGTTATTATTGGCTAATTGCGAACCATGTGACAATCAACTAATTAAATTACATCATATTCGTAAACTTCATTAGTTCCTATCGCTTCTCACTTTAACAAAAGAATAAAGAAAAAAACGATCTATATATGTATTTTTTAAATGTCTATTACGCCTTTTATACTGAACTAATATAGTATTTGAGGATATATCGTTTATTATACCCAAAGCTCGTTATGATAAGGCTCATTAATCTCTATATATGTAAACGTATATCAAGTTTTAACCACTCTTATTACTAGCTCTATTCTTATGTATTAACATTCTTTATACTTTAAATCTCTTTAACATATCTGAGAAATCATTTATCTATTGTTAAAAAAACAGCAGTTGTACTGTTAGTTTTTTAAAATAACTATTTAACAATTTAGTAATTACATATAGTTCTATAGTCATAATTTTATTTAAGATATCTCAAGATGTAGAATTATTTAGAATTATTTTGTATAATAATTGTTGGCATTTCTTTAAAGATAGCAATGAGTTTAATTTTTGTAAAATATTATATTTTTAAAAAGTACTTTAAATTATATAAATACAATTGTAAGCAATTGATTAATTAGAAAAAAGTTAACCTATATTTAGAATTATAAAAATAATTAAATTAGACTAATTTTATTAATTTGTATTTGAACTAAAAATTATCAACTAATTAACTAATATAAACTTAGCTAAATAAAATTATTTTAATCAAAAGTAGTTCAATTAGCTTAGTTGATTTAAATTAATTAAATTTACTAGATTAACTAAGTAAACTAAATAACTAAACAAACTAAATTAACTAGATAAACTAAATTAATTGATCTGAATTAGCCTAGTTACAAACATTATTATAATTTGAAAACTTTTAGTTAAATAATTTTTTAGCTAATATGATTGAGTTTGTAATTTTAGTAATCTGATTAGATATTTTTAACTAATCCAACTTATAATATTCTATATACTTTAAATAATAAAACTATTTTTTTTGAATCTCTTCTTTTCTCTTATCCTAAATACTCTATTTTCAAAAAACAATTTAGATATTACAAACTTCTCTTTTTTGATTAATTTACTACATATGACAATTTATATTTATTATATTGATAACACATTTCTTTCAAATTAAATAAATTTTTTAAAGATATTATATCTCAATAGTTTATTATTTTTGAGAATATTATTACCAATTATTCTTATTAATGTATTTTATATGATCACTTTAATCTATATTAATCAAACTATTTTCCTTATATTATTGATTACTTTATATCTAACATTATTCTTTGACTATTTACTATTAAAATAATCAAATAATTATTAATAAGACCAGAAAACATAATAGTTCTACAGGTCTTACTTTTCTTATTCAATACCACTGTTCATTTTAGTTTTAGTTTTCTAATCTTTATCTTATTTCCTTTTCTACTATCATTATATAATTTAGATATTATCTTAATTCTAATTTAATTATTAACAAATATATTATTTTTATTTTTACAAATTTAATTACTAAACTATTCAGTCATATTAAACCTAATAAAACTCTTAACCTATTTGCCAATTTTCTTGGTATTATATACTATGTAGCTATATATATTTTATCTTTTTCTTTATTAACAATTAACTTACAACAACTACCTTGTATTTTTCAACTAGGCCAACTTACTGATAGTCTACAGTCTATTACTAATTCTAATCACAATATATCTACTATTATATTCTATATTATTGATTCTATTATTGATCTTGTTATCTTCTAATGCTTTATAAATATAAATTAAGTTCAAGTAGATAACTCTGCAATTTCTTACTTATTTCAAATACAAGTTAAACTTTGATTATGTTTTTTTAAAGTTGAAATTCTTGCTATCTTTTTAGCAATTATTACTATTTTTAAAAATTGTTTTGTTCATATATTTATTGATTCACAATTTGTAATCTCTAAATATCATAGTATCTGTTTATTAGTATTTATATTTTCTTATACTCATATCTCATATTTTTTTATTTGGTATATTTTTATTAACTTTATTAAATCATATTATATTCAGCTTATATTTTCAAAATTATTATATACCAAAATGATCTATTTAATAATCTTGTTGACTAATTTCTCACAATCATCAAATATTATTTTTTTTAATATTTTTAACCAATAATTTTTCTAACTTTATTTATACTATATTTGTTAATCAATTTCTTATTAAATTCTTATTCGATATACTATTCATACTATTTGTTAAGTTCATATTATAATACTTTGAACATCTTAATAGTATTTTTAATAATGATCTACTATAGCATTTAATATTAACTAAGAAGTCACTTGGCTCTATATTAATAAGAACTAAAAAATTTCTAACTTTGTTCACAACTTTCATTCTTCTATTTTAAAATCTTTTATATTAAAATTCTTTTGGATAAACTATCTGTTTCTTATACTCTTTATAAATATAATTTTTTATACTCTTCTTCTTATTATCAATACAATCAAACTAGTTTTTACTATACTTGATTACCTATCTTTTTATCCAAATTATCTTTTACCTAGTCTTTAATTCTCTTAATTGTATTTTAAATATAACTGCTCTTAACATGTTTATCAATTTTGTTTTTGACTTATATAAAGAAATTATTACATTTAACAGTTTTAAATTATACAACTTTTCATATATATCATCTCTTACTTCTACCTTATCTAGTTTAATTCTTATTGATTTATTTCTATTATTCATAATATTTCAGTTTCTTATTATACTACTACTTTTTTTTCTATTAAAATTCTTCTTTATTTAAACTAACAAATATATAAACAAATATGGATCTCATACTGTATTTCATATTTTACACAATTTTAAATCATACTTTTTACTAATTTAACTTATAGTTTTTCTTCTAGTTTATTCTTATTTTTTATTTTAATATTACAAATTATTATTAAAATTGATCTTTAAATTATCTAATAAATTAAATATCATATTTTTTTCTCTTATATTATTATTAACATCCAAATCTAAATAAGTCTTAGTACTTATATAGATTTAGGTCACAGATTATATATCTAAGTCTTTATTTTTCATATATAATTTAAAAACAAACTTTTCTTTATAAAAATTTTAATTAAATTTCAATAGAATTAAAGACATAGTTTCACTATTAATATTAAAAAAAATATTATGTTTAAAATATTGTTCTTAATCAAGCCACTTGTAAAAAAAATCTTTATTTATCATATTGGTTTTGTAAAACAAAAGCTAAATTTAGCTATATAATTCTTATTAAAACTCTTTTTCATTCTTAATTTTATAATATTCATAATATTTAAGACATTTAATTGCAATATTATAGTTCTAATTTTATCAAATATCTTAACAACACTTAACTTCCTGATACCAGTTCTTGTATTTGGCTTTAATAATTATAAAATAACCTTTGGTTCTTGACTAATATATTGCATTATTCTAAACCTTTAATTAATGAATCAAATAAACAAATAACTAACATTAAAATTATTTAATTTTTTTCTTATTTAGAACTATTTATTATCTCAAACCTAATATATAATATTCTATATATTTTAATACTGAAGCAATTACTTTAAAATTAATACTATCATCATATTCTAAATATTTAAGTTTTAAAAAAAAACTTTACTAACATTATATTCTTTTTCTTGATTAACTTATTATATATTATAATTCTTGTTTTTTTAACTAGAAATATATTTTACTAAAAATCTACAAAATACCTAAAGACAAAAAGTCATTATGTTTATAACTCTTAAAGATATTACAACAAATCACTTTTATTATCAAACTCTTTACAACTATTACCAAGTTCCAAAAATTAAATATTTTAGCTACACATAAGTTATTTTTCAAAACATTCTAAACTATAGTTTATTACTACAATCTAAGATCAAATAATTATAGATAAAGCTAGAAGACAACCAACTTCTTCTAGACTAATACTTATTACTTATTAGTACAATAATATTAAGCTTTATATTACATAACTATACCTAATACCTTTAATTACAACTAAACTATATACTAGTTGTAATCTCAATTCTAATCAAATCACTTGCAAATATACAACATTTATTCTTATTAATCTTACAACTAAATTTTTTGAAAAATTTAATATTCAAAACCAACAACTTAAACTCAATATAAATTATCTTAATTTGCTTTACTTTATTGTTATTTAACATCTTATTCAAATTCCT